ACGACCTCACGCTCTTCTGCGACGCCCGTGGGGTCGCTGGTGAAGATGATGATCTCCTCGGCGGAGAATCTCTCTGTCTCGACTCCTGACGAATAGTGACCTGTTTCCATGATCTTGCTGGCGTGGATATGTCGCTGAATAGCACGGATCCACCGCTTCCAGGTTCATCCTGCGAATCGGCAACCATATCCATGACCGCAGGAAGAGCTATCAATCCATTGGACCCCTCCGAACTGTCGTTCCCAAAAGTTGCAGTACTTGGGCTCGCTGAAGATCCCATTGTACTGTGTAGGTTATTGTTCTTCTGTAGTTCCTGTACCCGCAATAAACCAGCTGTCTCTCCGTCCAGTGTAGAGCTTGTTGTACGGCTGATAACCTGTCAAGAGCGCAAGATGACGTCCCGTGGGACGCTGTCCACCAAGCTTCCAGCTGAATGTACTCAACCACGTAGAAAGGATATACGGCCAAACCGATACAGCCAAACCAGTGCAAACTGTTGTGAGGGTGTTGTCCAATAACCATACACACGTTCGATATCAGTAGCGCGAGTGCACCCGTTTTCTCTCACTCAGATCGATCACAGGTAAACGCAAGTTCATGCAAGACCTTAAGCCCTACTTGTACCTTGAGCCAAATGTGGCATCCAAAGGAACACTTCAACCAACAAGAACATGGACCTCAGAACGGCTTCCCAATTTAGGCACGGCAGGAGGGTTTTAACAATCAAGAACACAGTGTCCAGTCCCAGCAGAACAACTTGAGGACTACAGAAGAATCAGATCCAAGGATGGCGCAACGAACACGTTTGCGGACAAGTACCGAATAACAGATGCTCCAAACAACAGCAAATGTGGAAAGGAGAAAGAGCATTCAGGATCAAGAAAGGCACAACATTGCCAGAAACACTACAGCAACAGTTTGCAACAAAGACACAGCCAAGGAGCGAGCTACAGAAGGTCACACCACAAGTAATTCAGTACAATCCACGCACACGACTGAGAGAGAAAACAACATCACCAACAGCACAGGACACAGCAGCACCACACACCACCAAAGGTGCAGCTGGACAAGGACTACCGCATCCTGCAGAAGTACATCATGGAGGAGACTACTGGCGCAGAGAAGGAGAACACTGCAAGAGAGTACACATCAAGCCACACACACAGTGCTTTACACACCAGAGCAGACACATGACGGGCCAGACATCAAGCGACTTACACCTGGAGGCAGACCAAGGCACAACCAGTAGGAGATGAGCGCAACACAAGATTAGTAGAAGATGAATGCGCAACACAGCAAGCGAAGACATCAGACAAGCCTTGGACAGGCTGGACAAACTTTGAGGAACATCAGGAGTTTCCAACACAACTTGAGTCAGATGATGAGGAGCAACAGCAAGGCACAAGAGCAAAAGCACCCCAAGCAACCAACACCACAGGAAATACTTGAGCACAACGTGACACACCTCCCCTACAGAAGTTGGTGTCCAACATGCGTACAAGCAAGGGGCAGACAGAACAATCGCCCAAAGCACCACAGCAAGCTTCCAATCACACAGTTTGGCTTCGGCTACAGCAAGGGCTTTGATGACAGCAACAATCCTCACAGCAATTGACATCCAACCGACTTTGCTCACACAGCTACAGCACTTCCTCATTGAATGTGGAAGAACATCACACACACCATACTACAACCAGATCAGGAGACTTCCTGACAGCACTGATCACAGCAGTGGCAAACAAGAATGGCGACATCACCACAAGGAACTCAGGAGCATACAGTTCGCAATCACAAGGAGGAGTAGAGTGAGCGCACAGAACACTGTTTGCGCCAGAACACTCAAGGCACAAACCAGGCAAAACTGCAACAGAGACATTCCAATGGAACATCCACTCCTGCCTTGGATAGTTCGACACAGTGCATACATCATGAACAGATTTGCGATCCACAGCTTTGGACGCACAAGCTTCTTCAACAAATTGCACCAAGAGCAACATACACCACTTCGCGAGTTTGGTGAGACAGTGCAGTACATGCAACCAACAGTGACACAATTTCCAAAACCCAAGCCGAGGTTCTACCACGGGATCTGGCTTGGTGAAAGACCAATCAGTCTGTACAGAGACTGATGGCCCAGCACCATCACCAGGAGTGTCACACATGAGAGGTACAGCAGAAGATGAAGCACCGCTCGACCAAGAACAGCAACACAAGCAACAACACAGGCGGCTTGTTGGCAAGGTACAATGGCTAGCATACACACGACCATACATCAGATATGGAGCAAAGGAACTAGCAAGATCACTACAAGCACCAACACAGTTTGACAGCAAGAAGCTCAAGCGCATGATAAGGCACCTTAAAGGCACAAGGTACTTGCGACACAACCTGCAACCAAAGATACAGACACGGGACAAGCGAATCCCACTCAACATCGATACACACACACAGATGCCAACTGGGCATCATGCGCGGCAACAAGAAAGAGCACAACAGGATTTGTGATACACTTGTTCGGAGCAGCGATACACTTGTGGAAGCATAGCACAAGCAACAATGTCACTTTCATCAGCAGAGTCAGGGCTGGTACAGCAGCACAGGAGAGCCTCTACATCAGCAACTTCATCAAGGAAGCATTTGGAGTACGCACCAACATCAGGATACACACAGACAGAAGCGCAGCTAAGTCAATCACGATGCGAGAAGGTGCATCACAGAAAGCAAACCTCATTCAGCTGTCTCTCAACAAGCACATGCACACAGTTGGCCTGTGAGGCCATCGCAACCGTTTCACACCAGTCGGCACAGTTTGTTAAACAACAGTTGCACAGGTCACCTTTCCTTGTCTACAGCGGAAGTGAAAGCGCTACAACTTAGTTTCACTTAGGGTATCCGGAGCCATGGTACATGTTTTCTGGGAGTTCTACAACATACATGTCAAACATGGATTTGCACCTTTTTTACCTTTTACATCAGTGAGGTACATTCTTCCTGATACATCGGACCAATGGACATTAGGCCTTGACAGCGCGTGCTACATCAGATGAGCACACTGGAAGGCGATACGGCGCGCACTTGTTTACATCGCTGACATTTGTGGGGTTTCAACGGCAAGGAGGCGCACAACATCATGGAGTGGCACATCGAGAAGACCACAGGCACAAGCGGTGTTTTGCACATCGCTTTTACTGCAAAAGAATACAACAGTTTGAATGGTGATTACACTGGACTGCAGGCCAACATGAGGAGGCCATTTTGCGAGCACATGATCTACAACACCAGTCCATTTGATGCTCTCACAACTTTGACCTACCTCTTCAGAGCACAAGATTTGCCAATACAATGTCCTTGACATCTTCATGGACCAACGGTTTGGCCTGGGATTTCAACGCCATGGTCAGCTTGAGCCACCTACAGACTGCAACATGTGATTGAATACTCGGGTCTACAGATCCTCAAGTACATCAGCCAGGTGAACACGTCGTGCGAGGAACTCATCGCAGCAGCAGCCAACATGGCCGAGGTTACAGCAGTGTCTGGAAAGAGGCCAACAAATGGTTCACACAACTGCGATTGTTTTGGCGGTACACATGAGCCAGCTGGATACAACATTTGCTTGAAACAGCAGCTGTTTTACACCTGCTTTTGACACCACGACCCACAAGGAAGTTGCACAGCTTGGTACACATCTTTTGTACAGTGGCAACATCCATTTTCAACATTTCAGGAGAATGTATACAACATTATCCTGAGGAGGCGTGTTAAATACTACATGCTTTCTCTAGCAGTACAGTTGGGCTACGCTGCCCATACATCCCAAGGCCTTGAGCCTATGCACAGACCTTCCTTAGTACAGCTACAGTAGACAGTACATCATTGCCCAGAGGAAAACAACTGCGCTTCACTTCACACACAGGTTCATCACATCAGGTAATTAGGTATACAGTTGCTCCAAGTTTAACAGTACCATATATATATGTTGACATGTCATAACACACTGAAACCGCGACCATGATCATCCTATGCCACAAGCCATCGAGCCACCGCCGCTGCCACTGAGGGAAGCCAGGTAAGCCCCCGGGCAAAGGCAAAAAACAGGCAATTTCTTTCCTCCTCAAAGGGACTCAATCATCGATTGGGGGTGGGGTGGGTGATATTCCTTCATCGATTCAATCGCTGCTCTCTTGTAAGTTTACTTGGAGTCTTCTGGGCAGATCTTCACAAGACCGTGAACTTGAGTCCAAAGACTTCAACGCCGTGTCCAAATCGTTTGTCGACAAGGGTGGTTATGGCAAGACCAAATTATCGCGCTACGACCTCAACTGGAACGACACGTTCTACGCAGCCTTCGACAAAGGAACCTGTGAGCGCAATCAGCTTGTGCATCGGTGAGTGGACCACCGAGCGACGCCAAGCACGAGCTCATCTTCGCTATGAGGATAGTGAGTGAGCTCTGGGCGGTGGACGGTCAGCCGGCACCCGGAATGCACAATATTGTTGAACACATGGCCGCTGAGCGCGATCGCAGCTGCGCAGGCCTTCCTATTCTGCGGACGTAACTTCAATGTTGCTCAGAGCGGTGCGTTTTGGATGACATCCCAAGCATGTCCAATGACAGAAGAGCTATTGAGGAATGGCTGAACCAGCGCAAAGAACGGAGATTGGAGGGAAATATCATGTGCGATCAAAGTGAGAGAGATCTTCACGAAACGGCCACCATTCATAAAACCGCTTGCCTCAGCGAGGCGCCGATGACACCACGAAAACCTTTGCACCGGCGATCAAAGGTAGGGGGTGAACAAGAGTGTCCCGGCCGTGGTTAGATCGAGCGCTCGGCTGACACCAGTCCACCACTGGTAGGGGCTCGAGCCGGACTTAAAAGCAAAGAGAAAAGAGCAACAAGCAAGGGGAAAATAAAGAAATGAAGAAATGTCAGAAAATGTCAGATTCCATCGGTTTTCCCTTTCGGTTCTCTCTCGCCTCCTCTTTGGGCTCCGGGCCGACTGCCAAGTGAAGGCTGCCGAAGCGCTTCAGCAGTCGCATCTGACGAGGCTGAAACGCTCACAGCAACAGACGCTCCGAGACGCTCTGAGACGCTCCGAGACGCTCCTTGACCTCTTCCCAGAAGTTCATCATCCTAACGGATCCCGTTTGCAGATTTCGCAGATTTCGCACTCGCGTGGCGTGCCAGGGTGTTGAGGAGCCGGCACTTCATGGCTTCTGTTGGTGGGCTGCTTCAGAAACTCATTCCACTCCTATTCAAGCCGATGCCCTTGCGGGATGGGGGATGCACGAGTCGCCAAGCTGCACTGCCAAACTTGATTTCCACGTGATTATGTTCCATGTGAAGAGCCCAAGTCGTTTCAGCGCACATTCGTTCGTTCCATCTCCGGTCCTCGCCAACGCGGATCTCCTGCCTCTGCAGCTGCGCTGCTTTAGCTGCCTGAGCCTTGGCTTTTTCCGGCGCGGGGACCAGTCCCGAGCACCACAGCTGCAGCTGGTGTGGTGAATGGTCTGGCGTCTTCACCTTCTCCAGCCCCCGTTTGGACTTCAACGCCGCATGCGTTGTCTCAATCACGTGTATAATTTTCCGTTCACCCATTTGAAGCCCTACACCACGCAGCTCAGCTCGTGTGTGCCAACGAGATTTGGAAAAACCTGATGTTCGAAGGTACCCGCCCTGATTAATCCGGTTCAGTTGGAGCAAAGGGCATCATTTGCTTGTTTTCAAGTGCTGGGGGCCATGATTAAACAGGGGGAGACTAGGAGCTATGAAAGGAGGTACTAGTGACAGAAGCATTGGCGCTAGCTACTAGCTTGTGCTTTGGACCATCAGATTTGTCACCAAACTGGGGAAGAGAGTTGTTGCTGTTGAGCTTCTGTTGAATTCAATTGTTTGATGTTTCTTGTGTATTTTGTTGGAGCTAATCAAGGTTTCCTCAGGATCAGGGTTGCTGAAAATAGGCCAGGAAAGGGGATAGGGGAAACATTGCCTGAACGGCTCAGGGCTCTCCGTTCCCTGCCTTGGCCCAGTCCTGGCGCTTCCGCTCCTCGCCTCGAAAACGGACCCAAGATCATCCAAGATCCAACAAATGCCGTTAGATGCCGCGTGCCGTTTGATCCGGCAAGGCAAGCGATGCCAAGCAGCTGAGCCATCCGCCGGAGACTCCGCCGGAGACGCTGCTCCGAGCGCGCCGCTTCTGCACGAGGCGAGACGCACGAGCACGAGACGTTTTGCTCGGTCCCTCCTCATCCGACTCGCTGGAGATGCTCACCTGAGGTCGGAACTTGTTTCACTTGCTTCCCTCGGCTTCGGAAAATCAGGCGAGTCGCCCATGTTTGTCAAATGAATAGACTGAATAAAGTGGGCTCAGGAATTGGTTTGTTGGTGCGGGCTGGGGCCTCGGCTTGGGATTGGTTGGATGAGTTTGGGGTTGATGGGTTGGAAACGTAAGGAAAAGCCGCACAAGCAATTGCAGCAATAACAACCAAGCCAAACAACACGAGGACAACGTAGACGTCGAGTGGTTGAAATGGCAACCGGCGCGCCTGCGTCATCTGCACCTCGCTGCCATTGCGCCAGGTGCAATCTCTGCAGCTCACGACGGTCAGACGGTCAGACGGTCAGCCATTGTGGGCTCTAATGATGGCTGCTTGGGTCTGGGCGTGAGAAGCTGTGAAGTTGAGTGAAACGCTGCGGCATGGACATACTATGACATGCTATGACACTGCAATGCTACCATCTTGGCTCACATGGTTCTGTCCACGGCAAACTGGAGCATGTCTGCCTGCACTCACAAATCGAGCTCTGAGACTCCGGGATCCGGCCAGCCTCCATGTCAACTTGTCTCACCACAGGCTTCGATGTCGCCATATCCGAAGGCAGGACACTGAAGGCCAAGGAATCGGACAATGTATCGACTATGCTGTTACATTCCGACAGACTGAAATGCTTCCAACTGGCTGAGCCAAGATGAATCAGGAGAAGCCAAAGCGTCAAAGCACGCAAGCGCTGACAGCGTCTTGGTCAATGCAAGTTTTTCACAGCGCTTATGCTGCTCAAATTAAGAGTGGCTTGTGCGCCTCTTCTCTACCGATGCATGTGCCGTCTGCCAATGCCAAGCAACAAAAAGCCATACAAGATATATCAACGGATCCACAGTACAAATCTCGAGAAAGGCGGCCAAAAGCCCAGTGCAAGGCCTTTGGATAAGTTGGCAACTCGGAGCCATGTTTTCAGCAAGCGAGCGAGGCGAGACGGCAAGGTCAGGGATCTCTAAATGAGCGGCGAGAGCTTGAGAACTCTGGCGCCACATTTTGCCTTGTGGCTCCTTGGTGAGAAAACAGGCAAGTTGCGCACGGTGCAGGTACGCAAGGCCAACAAAGACATTTAACGCCAAGCTTCTTTGACGCTGGCACCAAAGCACCCATCCGCATTGCGGCAACCTGTCATGGCTCTTGCCCATGTTCCAACTTGGAGATTGGCTTGCGCCTTGGATTTCTTTCGATTCTTGAGCTCCCCTTCTGGGCAAAGGTGGCAGTAGCCGCAGTCCTCACACTCGTGGCTCGGGCCACCCCGACTTGCCGTATCGCTCCTTGTCATTTTGGCATCCCTGGGGCTTCCAGTACCAGGCGCACGGTCTGCACCTGTGAGAGTGACTCAGCACTGCGAAGCGAAAGCTGTTCATCTCTTGGATCCCCGGCTTCCCACTGCCATGAAAGCCGGAGCCTTTGGAAGGCATGTCAGCCTCGCACCAGGCAACATCGGAGTCGAGTCAAGCGCTTGAGATCTCTGCCTTGCCATCCAGCCTCAGTTCACGACGTTCGGCTCTTCGGCTCTTTTCCAACTTTCGATTCGATTCTTTCGATCTCAGGCCAAAGCTCTGGCAACTCCTCCGAGTCCTCACTCGCCTGAGACTCAACTCGCCCACTCGACTCGACTCGACTCTCGCGGAACGGCCTCGTCCTCTTCCACCTCGCGGCTCTAGCAGCTCTAGCTCTAGCAGCTCTAGCGACCAGTCTCACCCCTCAACCAAGCCTCTCCGGAGCTCGCTTGTGCAGCTGGCGAGTCACATGCATCACCAGTGCCAAATCCAAATTCAAGAGAGACCCGAGATCTGCAAGTCTTCCCAAAACCGTTGAAGGAATTTTAAGACACTGCTATAAGCTTTACGTTCAAGCTCCATGATGTTCCATTGCCTGCAGCTGCAGCACCTGCAGCGGCAGCAGCTTGGGCAGCTGCAGCAGCTTGGGCAGCTGCAGCGGCTCAGACGGAACAACAGCCCGAAGTCAGGAGCTCTCGGGCCCGTATGGGCCCGTATGGGCATGCATGGGCATTCATCCGCATGCGCAAGTACATGTTTGGGCAGCATGGTCTGCCAAAGGGACGTGGGTCCATGCAAGTCGCAGTATGACACACACACTCCCAGCAAAATAGCTAGAAACATATGTCGATGCACAAGACAGGGAACACTGGCATGGGAACATATGGGCCAAACTTTGGAAAACATCGACCTCCGCAGTGAAAACGAGCCAAATGGAGCCTTTGGAAACGAGACGACTTCTGTGAAAAGGAACAAGAGATCTAAAACGAGACGCTTCCCCGAGGAAACGTCGCTCAGCTTGCGACCCATTTGGGCCACCCGCGCTGGCGGCTGTAGGGGAAGGGTGTCTCCTGGCCACGAGCTGAGCGGCACAGAGAGCAAACGCGGAGAGCACAAGCGACGCAAAAGCGCCGCAAAAGCGACGCAGCGCGAGCCAAAGCCGACCGAGCTGCAAAAAGCGAGTCACGGAAAAGCGTCACAGCGTCACTCGCACTCAAAACTCGTCACTCAGGTCCTAGGTGCTCGCACCTTCGGAAAAACAGGGGCTTCTGACAGCTTGCAGGACCTCCACGCCTCTCCATGACGCCAAAGCCGTACCCAGTGCCACCTGCGCAACCGAAGCAAACTCCGAGACACACTCACTCGATTCGAATCGCACTTTTCAAATCTTCTTCAAAACTTCTTCTTTCTTCTCTTTTCTCTTTTCTGTGCCTCCGGACGGCGTCGGAGTGGCGGGCCATAGTTGGGCCTCACGGTCGCCGCGTGACCGTGTCACGTCACCAGGCGAGATGCCAAGCGGCTCTCTCTTGGTCATCTGACAGGTGGCCTGCGGAAGTCTTCAATTTCTCAAAGTCAACACAAAAGACCGACGCGGGCTGGGGGGTGGGGGTGGGGGCCCTCACGTTTGAGTTAGTGCTTGGGGATTGCTACCCACGAAGCAAAAAAAGGGGGAACAAAAAAAGCAACTTGCTTCGGTGTATGAGTCCTTAGGAGGTCATTGAGCTGCAACTTCCCGGGTGCCAAAACATGCCAAACCGCACGGGCTCCAGGTGCGGGTACCCTAGATCTCAGCTCGCGACTCGAGCCTGGCGGTGTTTGAAGGAACATGGAGCTGAAGGCTCCGGCCGCGTAGCTCCCTGCGTTCGAACTTCGGACTTCGCACTTCGCATGACTTCGCACTTTGCAGTTGGCCTTCTGGCCATGGTGAGTGGGCTTCGTGCCAGGTCGGTGTGTAATCTGCCCATCTTGCCTGCCCGGCTGCCCAACTGCCCATGTTACCCGTGTTTCCCGTGTTTGCGGATGCAGCTGACTCCCAGGCCGCAAGCGCCTTCCTTCGATCTTGCCTCCTTCCTGGCCCGATGGGCGACCTGCGGTGCCCAACTGGGCTCGCGCTTCGCGGCAACAGCGGCTCGCACGATTTCGTTGGCCGCGGGGAGATCGTTGACCGGTTCTGGATTGGCAACTTCGGCGCAGAGATTACGCCAGCCATAGCCTCACTCTTGCAACTTGCCCATGTGCACGCAACAAGAAACTCAGCTTCTCGCCCGGACGGCTCTTGATGGCCCTAGGATACGATCGAAATGTTGCCTGTCTGTTGGCCTGAGGTGTCTGCAGTGCTAGATCCATGTTGCTTTTCATGATTTGGGCACGATTCGAGGAAGATTAGGCGCGCGGTTGATGTTGGAAAGTCTGTTGCATCAGGGCGCACTAATCTGGAGCCACACCAAGCAAGGCAAGCTTTGCGATTGATATGAACCGTCAAAATGCTATGCAATGGATATGAAAATAATGAGAGAGCCCCTCGTGTTCGGAAGACTAGTGCCCACATCCCTTGGACCATCTTCAGGTGAGGGAAAGCTGTTTTCGCGCTAAAGCGGAACGGGGAGCACTTCGCCTGGCCGACGCAAGACGTGCATCCGTGCAGAAAAGGCCCGTCCCACCTTGGCTGGATTCCACGAAGCCAGGAAGCTGGAGGCCCTTCGGGTCACTTCGGGTCACTTCGGGTCACTTCAGGAAGTTGAAATCACAAGATCTCGGGGCCCCATTTCTGCGCCTATTCCGTGCCCCACTTTCACAACTTCAACGGGGTGTCAAGTATCTGGACTGCATGCAAATTGCGCGCTTTGAGAATTACTTGACAAAGACCGCTGCAAATAGGGGGCGCTTTGGTGGTACATATTCCTGCCTGCAACTCAACTCGATATCCTGAATAGCCCATCTTCAAAAAACAAAAACCAATGGACGGTCGGACGGTTGGAGCGCACGCCTTGCCGTCGAAGGCGGGCATGGCCACCACCCCGAGCTTCGCCGGGTCGATGGCGAGGGTGGGCTCGTGGGGCTCGTACGGCCTGAAACTTGCGGAGACTCGCGCCACTCGCGTCACTCGCGTGAGAGTCCTCACGGATCCTCACGGCCCGTTCAACCAGCCGGAGCTGCGCGCAATAGATCTTGCCATCAGCAGCCTGCATGCGACGCGATCGACTCGATCGACTCGATCTCGTCAATCTCTCGCTTGACATTCTCTCGCGAGTCTCCAAGCTGCCGGCCAGCACCCCGCCACGCCACTTCCACCGTGCAGAGCCCACCTTGAAACCGGGATCCGGACTCCCAGAAATGCCGCAAACTAGTTGCCGGGACCTTGGGACCTGAAGCAAGTGACTTCTCTAGGTCTCCTTCGCTCCCTCCTTCCTTATGATTTTCTCAGCGCCTGTGGAAACCTCCCCCGAGCCTCCCCAAAGCAGATCACGTCCTGCCCGTGAAAGCAGGCACGTGCCTCAACATGAAATCACAGTCCTGAGTGTCTGGACGAATGCATAGTACCTACACATGATAAGGTTCATACACTGCGACTCAGCACGTTCTCTGCAGCGCCTCGCTTGCGCAATCTGGCACGCAGAAGATGTAGCCGTTTGCCTGAAATGCAAGTCATGGAGCCTGAGCTGCAGAGCCAAGCTGACCATGACACCGCCGCGCCACTTGCAACCTTCGCCGAGAAACACACGGGAGAAAGCCGAAAAGCCCGGTGTCTCACATGTGTAAGGCGGCAGCGAATTCCACCGACCCATCCTTGAGTGTGCAAGTCTCAGAGTCGAAGTTGTGCCAGCTGTGCAAAGTGGAGACGAGTCGCCGAATTTCAGAAAACCAGCTGGCAGGCGTGGATCGCCTGGATCGCTCTCCTTGGCCTCCTTCTCCTCGTCCTCGTTCTCCTCCTCGTCCTCGTCCATTCCCAAAGCCAGGCGGCGGGCAGTGGCTTGAGCCCAGGTCAAGTCCGAGTGCACCTCAATTGCTGACGTTCTCTGTTTATCACATCTTCATACGCTTCATACGCTTCATACGCTTCATACATCCGTTTGCTTTCATTTCGTTTTTCTGTGCCTTTTTGCCGGCATCGGAAACCGCATCCCGCCTCAGGCCTTGGCGCCGCAGATATTTGGACCACCTGGCGGGGATCCACCGCCAGCACCTCCAAGGCGTTGCACGGCACCTGCCACAATAATCACTAAACCGCATGCACATGCCGCATCCAAATTCTCACAAGCTCTCGCGAGTTCTGAGGCCTTTTCACAAGCTCTGCAAGGCCAACGCAAGAGATGCGGACAGCTTCGGAAAAACCCTTTGGACAGTCAGATGCATGAACGCGCAACAGCGCTACTTCGAGGGTAGGAAATGGGCCCGGAAGATTCTTGCTCAGGAAGTGCGCAGAAAGACTACTCGGAGAGTTCGCTCAGAGACAGACTCAGAATGATTGGCGACAGACCTCGCTCACGGACATCGCGCAGAGAGATGTCACAACAGGATTGAGCCTTCGCAAAAGAAGGAACTGAGGGGTTGCTGCTTCGCCTTCATTTAATGCGGTTTTGGGCGAACACGAAGTAGCCCAGGGAATCAAAGAGGTACACGTGGTTCACGACGTACCAAAAGAACCCAGTCCCAACGCACAATGGAGAGGGAGCTGATGACCAGGTTGTGGGAGTGACAATTGAGGAGTTGTAAAACAGTCAATGAAGACACAAATCAAAACCAAGCCCAGGGCGCCCTCAACGACCAACCACCCACCCCCTAACACCGGCACGCTGCAGCACCAGGAACTTTTCCCTGGTGATGAGGCGAGCCGCCTTGCTATGGCAAGCGCAAGCTAGAACAAGGAATCCCTGCCGGGAGGTAAAATCTTGAGCTATTCGGCCATTCGGCACGTATGCATTATGAAGAAACAACACGTGAACAAAACACACACCCCTCATCCGATATCTGGACAAGAGAAAGGACGCATGACAGTTGAGTTCACGATGAAAGGAACAAACCAAAAATGCTAGTGTCATCTCAGAGGTGAGCCCAACGGCATCACACCCCGAATTAGCGGGGCGACAGGATTATCTGGCGAATGGGCCACGTGAGTGAACAAAGACATGTTGGAGGAACCAGACGAAGACGATTCCTCTCGCGCCGTTCAAGTATTGCGTTGGAACAGTGACGTCCGGAGGGGGATCCTATCTGGATCGCCGCGCCTCACAGTACGCCACTTGGTGGTTGGAGGCGGTTACGAGTTGAGAGAAAGAAATTGAAATAGACATTCTGCGATGCACCCAAGATCCAATCGCACTGCAGCTGATGTTCACTTTTGAACACAAGTGAGGTGGTCCTTACCACCGGAATGCCATGCTCGCTGAGCACACTACTGCCTTGGCAAAAGGGGCCCCTCGAGCCGATACATCACAGGTCCCATGCATATGGAACTGCTCAAAGAACCAGGTATCAAAGTGGCCATGCATACATGCGTTTGCGACTGTGGTCATCAACTGACCTTGCAAAATTGCACGGAGAGTTGATGACCGCTCTCAAAGTCCTCGATGGCCTTCACAGCACCGGCCTTGTTCATGGCTCCGGAAAGCTCTTGTCGTAGGCGATTGCCCAAAGACCAGTGGAAAGGTACTTCCGAAGTCCCAACCGGCAGTCTTGCTTCTTCTTGGTGAAGGCATCGCCCAGGTCATAGTCGCTGGCAACCCAGCGTAACTCGGCGAGAGTCCTGTGCAATGACTCTCTCAACTGCAGAGCTTGAAGAGCGGACCTGGCGTTGCTGAGGCCCAGCATCGGTGAATCGTTGTACATCACGGCGTCAAGGCCGCCCTTGGAATCTGTGGCCAAGATGCCCTTGACATTGCGCGAGAGCCTTTCGGCCCATGCTGACCCTCGCCTTCCAAAACTGCTTGAACTTCAGCATCATTGGAGCTGATGGCTTTCCTTCTCAACTTCCAGCAAAGTGGCGCCATGAAGGTGACCTTGCCCTCGACGGCTTGTGGTCAGATGCGGTGGACAACAGTCCTCTAATGGAGTCGTGGTTCTCATGATTGGCGCGCGCGCCTGGTCGCAGAAGGTGATGAAAACCAGGTCTCTCCAGGTGCTGACGCCATCTGGTTTCCTGAAGTAGTACTGCTTGCGGACTTCACCAATCATCTGTTGCAGTTCACGAGCAACTTGCATGTTGCGCTTGGTGGTGATCTCCGAGGCAATGAGGTTGCGTCGGGCACATAGCTGTGGTTGTGTCTGTAGCGCTAGCCATTGCAAACTGCCCCAGGTGGCGCGACATGCGGCTATTTCTTCTGCGGTGAGTTGTGCCTGTTCTTGACGAAGACGATCAGGAGCGATGCGCACATCGATGAGCGTCTCGATGTAGTGGTCTTGATTTACCTGAGACCGCCCATCATGCCCAAAGTGCGAAAGACGTTGCGCTCGTCTTTGTCGACTTTAGACTGCCAGATCCAAACACACCTTTCTCCCACAAGTCGTTTGCCGCCGATGGACGAGAGGCGACGATGTAGATCTAGCCATAGCCCTCGAGGCGCTGTGGTGCTACCGTAGGTGTTTTTCAGGATCTTCATGATGTCGTTGCTCGAAGCTCGGCGACATCGCGTGTCCACAGATTCTGGTCGGCCTCGGTGGGTTGTGTTTGTAGGAACGCCGTGGCCAGGTCTAAGCCTTCCAGAGTCCAGTTGTGAGTGCAGGCCATCATGCGCAGCAAGTTGCGTCCCAGGCTAGACTGCACAGGACTTGCGGTCTTGAACCCTGGCCGCAGGAGGTCGGGATGCCATAGCAAGACACAGTACGTGCTTTGGCCTTGCGAAGTCCATCCTTGATGTAGGTGGACTTGACGTTGGAGACGGCTTCCTCCTTGGCCTCTTGATGTCCTCGGGAGGAGTTGGTTTCCCAGCACCCAACGAGCTCGCATGCTTCGGCCCTGACCAAAGGCTTCTCTGACTTCCTCACTGTTGAGGGCCTTACGCACGGCTGCCGCCTTGATGAAGCTGTTGACCTCTTTGGTCTTGGCGCGATTGAAGAGCTCTTTGAGGTCGTTGGTCGGCCGGGAGTAGAATTCTTCGGAGTCTCGCATTTTCTTCACAAGGTTGGCAGACGCATCTCTCTGAATGTTCTTCTGTTGGCGTTGCGAGAGTTCTGACACGGCTCAATGGTCATCGTGTCGGAGGACGCATCAGAAGAGCATGTTGATCTCCCTTGGTGGAGATGTACATCTTCCAACCATCTGAAATCATAGAATTGCTGGTCGTGCATGAATTCAAGCCCAGGCGTCTTGGAACCAGGCTCGACATCTTCCACATGTCCATGGTGACGTGGTCAGGTGGTGGAGGTGCCGGTGGTTTCGTTTTTGTCCAGAGCCTTCTTGTAGGTCTATAAGTGGTGCTGCTGTTGGGCTGATCAGGCAGATCAGGTTGTTCACGTTCATCAGGTCCTGGTTCTTCTTGACTGATATCAATGAACTCCTTCTTCGGCAGGAGGTCCAACAGAGATCTCCATCTAGAGATGTCTTCTTTGTTGTTGATCTCGAACTGGGTCTGCTCGAGAGAGGTTGTCGGCCGTACAGAGTGAACACTGCAGCGAAGGAGTTGTTTCTGTAGAAGGACCCAGCCGATGTGGTAGTACTTCATGAAACACCACTCTGCCAGGTCCTATCCAGTGCGGTTTGCCTGACTTCTTGGCGCCGTGCTTGCCCTGGTAGATGTGTGAAGGCCATTGCTTGCGCCAGACCAGCACCAGCTGCATGGGATGGAAAGTCCGTAATAGTTGTCTGACAGTGGAATTGCCGAGCGTGCTCAACACGCGCAGAGCTCTGGTCCGGCGAGCAACTTCTTCAGCAGCTTGTCGACGTTGAACCAATCTGGCAAAGTCATCGGCTGGTGACTCAGGCAGTGAGGCAAGGTACGCGTCTCCTCATCGGTGATGACATAGTCCTTACCGTAGCACCACTGGAAGGAGGAGTAGCCCTTGACATACTCAGTGGAGTTGAGGGCCGCTACCGTGAGATGTAGAGTCCTGTGTTGGACTGCCCAATTGGATGGCACTTGGTCATCTTGACATCTTTCACGGCTGCTTCGATTTGCCCATGGGCCCGCGACTCCTTCTTGGCTGGAGGTGCTAGTTGAACACCGATGTCAGACAAGAAGCTTGACATGTCCCGTGAGGTCAAGGTGATGCCATTGTCGGGGATGGCGATCTCCGGCTTGGGCTATTCACTGACATCCAGTCCAATGGCTTGCCAGGCGTGGTAGAGCTGATGTGTAGCCGCAGGTGGGACCAATCCTGATGAGGAACCACCAGGCCGCCGAGCATCGATGCACACTTGAAATTTCGTGCCTTCTCTACTTTCCATTCGGGTAGCCGAGCATCTCGCAGGATGTGGACCAGGTTGCGGTTGGTCGGATGGCCGGCTGCACGGTGATACTTGTTGAGCTTGGCCTCCCATTGGCGTCGTATTGCTGGGGTGATATCTGGATCATCCAGTACCGCTACCGAGGGTGCTGGTGCGCGGGCAGTAAAGGGTACATGAGGTGCTTCATTGACAGCAATGACATCTGGGCTGATAGCTGATGGATTTGGTCGTTGTGGAGGCTGGGACGAGGATATCCGTCTGTGGCAGAGTTTGGGATGTAGATGCCAGGTTCGGTTCCCGTCCAGGTGGTAGTGCTGGAGGCCCTCCATCACGATATGGATTTGCATCGTCGGGCGGCAGTTGTCGACATCCTCGAGCTCGTTGACGTGGATGTCATGGCAGGCAGTGACGTACTTGATGTGGCGCAGAGGTACCAATTCCCGAAGCCAGTGGCGAACGATGGACGTCACCATGTTGAGCGGGTAGTAGGCGGTTCGGGCTGTTTCTGCGCCTTCTATTTTGGCATGCTGGTGATCGCCAGTGCAGACCTTGGACTTGAAGAGTTGGTGGAACTTCTCATCGTTGGTGCGGATGAGCCACTTTGTCCTTGTTGGTCATACCGTACCGACAGCCGTCCACACGACATGGAAGCCAATCTTGACCAAGTAGATGTTGGAGCACAGGCTGTTGGTTCCACCCTGAGCACGGGTGTGTCCACTCCCAGTAGATGTCCAGGTCTGGGTCTGTGGTGAGAGCATTCATGAAGCTCTTGGCATTGAATCATTGCGCAGCATGCGACGCAAGGACCGAGCAGTCTCAAGGAC